TTGATACACTGAACTAAATAAAAGTATATACTTTAAAATAATTATCCAATATAAGTTAGAAAATTTCAATACATAGAACATGATAATTGAAGGTGTGTATAACTTTCTTATACTACTATAGTCTAATAGTATTTCATCAAAGCATGCTAAAAAAACATTTTTAGAGACACTATACAAGCAAACATGTTGCAGATACAATAACAGAACTTTAACAGAAGTTGCCATAGGTGTGGCAGCAACCATATTTTCGCAATAGATAAGTTTAGATATTTTATTGGGAGTGATATTTTAACAATTTTTTTATAATAAATTACGAGTCACTATTTTATTGTTGTATATATTTGAAAACAGAATCATAAACTAGCATATCTGTTGTAAAAAAAGTTATATAAAAAAATTGTTAAAAGAACATTTTTCTTTTCTTTTGTCAAAATAATTTCAGCAAAGAGGGGTAACATTTTGCAGTGTCTTTTTTTTTTTTTGTCTTCATGCGTTTGAGTTTTGGAGGGTATGTTGAATTTGTGGGACAGTGCAAAGAGTGACGTGGGTGCCTTGGAGTGGCTTAAACATGAAACTAAAACTGGGGAGATCAATATTTAAAAACTGATCGAAATAATCATCATAATAATTAAATAATTTAGAAATAGCATGAAAAACAAAATTTTGTAATACTAAAAACCAAAAATAAAATACATTTTTTCAGGTTTTTAACATTTAACAACGTACACAAGTTATATATTTTAATATTTGAATCAAATTTATGATTATGGTACACTTTAAATATGAAGAATCAATTATCTATTTAAAAAAAATAGTTTTAATAATCTGATAAAATAAAATATTTTAAATATTAAACTAAAATGCAGTAAATCAATAATATAATTAATAACTTCTAAAGGCAAAATGGAAAATTAAATAAATGTGCAAGGATGAGGGTGGAGAACTAAAAGAAAAACTAAGTAGAATAAAACCCAGAGAGATATGGGCTCTCAAATATTGGGTCAAGTATCTTACTAATGTAACTTGAAAGAAGAAAGTAGTATCAAAATAATTAGTAAGAAGTTGCAACTTCTTCCTTCTTAGAAAATAAACCCTATTATTTTTTTGATAATATAATATTATATTAAAATAACAATAATAAATATAATATCATATAAAAATAACTTATAAAACTGTATATTAAGTATATAAAGAGAAATGATGTTAAAATATCATAGTTCTTAATCTTGATTCACATTTTTTTTAATTTTGGAATTTATATGTTTTCAAATGGAAATTATATATTCTTAAAATATAAAAGTTGCATATATTTAAAAATTATTTCAAAATAGACGAGGTAGGTGAAGATATTTATTAAGTTACAAGATTATTCTGATGTAACAATAGTTACAACTAAATAGCTCTAAGCATTTATTGTTGATTTTAGTGGCGTTAGATTTTTGGATCACTGATAAAAATAAAGTAACAAGAGGTTGCTTAATCATTAAAATAATCAGTTAAGTTTTTCTTTTTTGTGAAAATTAATTTTTTGAAAAGTTGATGAAGATTTTATGTTGGTATTATGTTACTTAAAAAAAACCATGATTTTATATCCTTGGTTTTTTAATTTATTTGTTGCGGAATACCTTAATGCTCTATCAGCATTTTATGTTATTGGAAGGGCCAATCATAATTTGAAAGAGAGGGAGTAGAAACCTATCCGTTTTTCTTTCTTCCCTTACTTAAAAGGTATTAAACTATTTTGAACATTTAAAATATATCCACTAGAATAAAATTTAAGTGAAGTAAAATAATTTATGTCAATCATAAAATACAATAAATGAAAGATGTTTTATTTAATAGTTCATTTTAAAAGTTTAAAGAATATTTTTGTACATACTTCTTAGTATTATAATTTTGGTTTTACATTTTTTAATTTACTCTTTACTATTTCCAACTTCAAATGTAACCGCTTATAATTTTGGCAAACTAATTATTTTAAAACATATCATATTATCAATGAATATACAAACATACATTAAATCTACATTGATCAGAGGAGACTATAAACACACATTAGATGAGTGTGGAAAAAATTAAAGAGTTTAACAATACACATTGAATAATTTTGTCCATACATTTATTACATGAGTATAAAAAAATTAGACAAATTTAACAATATACATTAAAGAATCTATCTATATGTTAATTAGATGAATATAGTAAAAAACATTAGACGAGTCATTTTGTTCATTAATTAAACGGATATAACAAAAATTAGTAAATGGGTCTTGCAATACATAGTCCATATACTAATTAGAAGTATAACAAATGAACATTAGACAAGTATAGCAATATACATTAAATGAGTATGTTCATATACTAATTAGACGAATGTAGCAAAAAAATTAAAAAAAGGCATTCCATTAATTGATTAAATAAATATAACAAAAAAACATTAAACAAGTCTATCGATGCACTAATTAAATAAGTATAACAATAGATATTAAACAAGTTTTTCCATACAATCAATAAACAAGTATAGGAAAAAAACATTAAACAAGACATTTCATACATTTATTACACGAGTTTTGAAATATTCATTAGATGAGTTTATCCAAACATTGATTAAACGAGTCTACCAATAGTATACGATGGTAAGATGAGGTTGTCGATATACATTAGATAAGTTTATCTATACACAAATTAAACAAGCCCATTAATACAATACAAGTGTTTCCATTCATTAATTGGACGAGCTTTCCAATGCACTTTAAACATGTATGAACAAACACTCATTATACAACTTTGTCCACATCCTAATTAAACAAGTTCAGGAAAAATCATTAGAAGATTCATTTCATACATTGATTATATGAGTCTAAGAATATTCATTAGACAAGTTTGTCGATACATTGATTAGATAAGTCTACCAACAAATACTAAATCAATTTGTCCATACATTGATAAGACCTATTTAGCAAAATAAATTGCACAAGTATTTTCATACACAAATTAGAGAAGTTTACTAAATCAATATTAGATGAGTTTGTTCGGTCATTGATTATATGAGTCTTGTAATACCCATTAGACGAGTTTGAACATACACTTATTAGACGAGCATAGTAATACACATTATACGAGTGTGTCCATATACTTATGAGGCAAGTATAACAATATATATTAGAAGAGTTTGTGAATGCATTGATCAAACAAGTATAAAAATACACATCAAACAAGTTCTTCCATGCATTTATTAGACAAGTATTGCAAAAAAAATATTACACGAGCCTAACAACACACATTAAAAGAGATTGTAGATACACTAATTAAAAGAGTATAACAAAAATATATCAAACGAGTCATTCCATATGTTGATTATATGAGCTTACGAATACTTTAATTCAACGAATTGTCGATGAATTAATTAGACCTGTCTAGTAATATATATTAGACAAGTCACTCATATAATGATTAGACAAGTATAACAATATACATTACACAATTGTTTTCATACATATGTTATATGAGTCAATTAATATACATTAGACCAATATATTTATTCATTAATTAAATAAATATTGTAATATACATTAGATGGATTCATACACTAATTAGATAAATTTAATAATATGCATTAGACAAGTCTATTGATACACAAGTTATACAATTATTTTGTGATAAAATATAAAACAAATCATTTAATACATTAATTAGACGAATCAAATAATACATATTAAATAAGTCTATCATATACTAATTAAATATATATTAGATGTGTTTGTACAAACAAATATTACAATATATATTAGAAGAATATGTTGATATATATGTTATAGAATCTATTTATATAAATTTAAATTGATTATTCAACACAAAAAAAAAATACGATTTTTCGTAAATCACTTTTAATCAATTTACCTAAAGTGACCCTATCCAATGCTCACAATACTGTCCCTATTCTTACTCGCAGCACATTTTCATAATCACTCAGCAATTAATTATTAGAAAGTCTACTATGTCTTATCAAAACTTTTTCCATTTTCTTTTTAAATAAAGTTGGTTGTCTCTACAAGAAACTATAAAATAATAGGTAAAACAGAAACACTTAATTGTTACAAATATTATAGTATATACAAAAAAAAGAAATTATTAAAATTTTAGCATTTACACGATAATATTTCATAACCATTTTTTTATTAAAATATATTTATTTATTTGTCAAATTAATACTAATTATTTGTTTAATTAAATTTAATTGAGTGTTAATGGATTGATTCTCATCAATATAACGTAAAGTTTGGTTCAGCCAAAGGAAGAGAAGAAGGTTAAAAAGACACTACAATTAACATAAAAATATTCCGAATAATAATAATAATAATAATAATAATAATATATTATACAAATATCTTTTGTTTTTGCTCCTTTTCAAATATCCCATCTTTATTTTTTATTTCAAGCGCGTTTTTTTCCTATTAGAATTTAGCTTCCGAAAAATTGAATTATGAAAAAAAATTCTAACTTATTTTTTAATCCATTTTTTTAAGTTATAATTAAAAATTTTATTCTTGTGAATCGACTTATGATTTATTTTTTAACTTATTTTCTTTTAATTATATAGTCTCAAAACCCGAATTTTGACCTAAAACAATTATGCTATATAAATATTTATATAAGTAATTTTTTAATTCATATACTGTGTTTGGATAAAAAAATCCAACTACTTCTTCAACCCATATTCTGTCTAATTATCTTTCTCTCTTCCTTTTTATTCACTCTCTTTCAATCCTCTGTTTATTTTCTCGCAAACAATCAAAGCAAAAATGTAAAAAACGAAAGGATTGCATTTTTTTGACACTACATAATTTTTTACACCCCTCACATTCACTTTTTTATCCTTTATTTCTCCTTTTCTTCACTGATACTAAAGTTTACTTTTTTGTTTTATATTGGATGTAAAAGAAACATTTACATAAATGAAAATGTTGTTTTGTTCACCTTCATTAGTCGTAAATCTACACTCTCATGGAACCTTCTGTCGCGTAGAAGTGTGTCTCATTGGTGGGTCGAGAGCTAGAAGAAAGTGAAGCTCGGAGAGAATACCGAACAACCAGTTACACATTTCAGATTTGAAGTGTATTTCCCTTTCATTTTATCCACCGTGTTTCTTTCCTCACCAACTCAACTAGAAGGAAAGAAAGGATTTTATTTATTTATTATTATTTTTTCTTGCACTGAAAGAAGGAGGCTTGGAAATGGCGTCAAGGGAACGAAAACCCAGAAAGGTCCTTCATTTCAAGCTTTCTTGTTCATTCCCCCGTATTACTCGCCCTCCTTAATTTTCTTTTTCTAATACCTCTGAATTTCTTTCATGTTATGATTATCAAGTTTTATTTTTTTCTCCCTCTTCCGTTTTAACGTGTTTTCGAGTATTCCCTCTCTTAATGGTATTTTCTTTTGTCTGCAGAGGACGACGGGTACCACGCGCATGGATGCTGCCCTGGACGCAATGCGTCTAATTGGGTTTGGGATAAGACTGACTCGAGAAACGGTTAACGAGCTTCTCGATGTTGGTTTTCTCTTCTCTGAAGATCTAAAGGAAAAAAAAAATGATAAATGTTTCGTTTTTAGAGTTTTGGTTTTCTTTTTAACCTGTGGGGTTTGATGGTTTTCTTCAGGTGTATGGTGGAACTCAAGGATGGCCCTTTATTGAAGAGACCTCTTACAAGCTCTTAATCGAGACCTTACTTAGCAAACAAGAAGTTGCTGTAGAAAAAGTTAAGGTAAAAAATTTAGCATCTGCAAAATGTACAATTAAATGAATCTTGTGAAAGAATTCTCTTGAATGTTACATGAATGTTGCTTATTTTTTTAGTCAAAGTAATATGTGCTTTATTTGCAGGATGGTAAAGGAGGGGGTGGTGTTAATAATGTGACACCATCTGGTCGGATTTCTGATGTTGGTCCTTCTAGACTGGTGTCTGAAAACACTGTATTGCATACTGGTAGGGATGGTTTGGACTTAACTACTCAAATCACTGATCAAGGAGATGCATTACGTAACAATCTAGAAATTGGTAACTTATTACATCTCTGAATTACATCCATTTGAAATTTGTTAGCATAACTCTTCACTGTCATCAAGAGTTTTAGCTTTCTGAACTTCAATTCCTATATCAATGTTGATAATTGGTACATCTCTTTGGATGACATTCACAATTATTTATTCACTAGACTTATTATCGGGTATTTATAATTCATTAAACTGAACTAAAACTAAGATAGAAGTTGAAGTTTCTTCTGTAATTCAAAACAATAGTTCAAAGAGAGGATAATTGCTGCTTAACTGCATCACATTTGAGAAAAATGTCTAATTTCCCAGAAGGGTAAAGGAACACTTACTCTGACTTTTCTTCTGTTATGCTAAATCTGCCAATTTGTAGATGTTGGGGATGTGGCCTTGCAAGCTGCTGGAGGAGGACCTGAACAAGGCACGAACAAGTCAAAGAATGAGCAAAAGCCTGTAGATAATGTCAAAGAAATCAATGATAGCACCATTGTCAACAAAGTTAAGAGCCCTTCTGACAAGGCTCCTATGATTCAATCTTCAAAAGCATTTAATCCTCTTCCGAGTCACAGGCGTGAAGGTTACTATGGATGGATTGATAATGGTAGTGATGAGGATAAGGAATATGTCCACTTTCCAATTCCACAATTATCTGAACAAATTGAAAAGATGATTGGACAGTATGAAGCTCCTCGAAGTGGCAGTAGGAGAAGGCAAAAGAGTAGATGGGATGAAAAACCAGAATGCAAGTAAATGAATCTCTTGGCCATTGTTTTGCCATTGTAAGGAAGCTAGGGTCATACGTATAGACTTTGAAGATGTCTCAATTGATTTATTTTTGTTACATCATCTAATATTAAAAATGAGATCTCAAACAAAAGTGCTATTAAATAGTTCTTGGACTAACAGTTAAAATTTGTCCTGTTCTGTTCTGTCTAAGCCAATGAAATTGAAATCTAAACTAGGCAGCAGGACTTTAATATAAACTATAACAAAAATTCAACACAGTAATCTTGAAAAGTTTTGAAGTTTAAGGAAGATTACAATATTAAATATCTTGATTTATTTTAAAAAAATAGATAACAAAGTGATGACAAATACGTATTTTATTTTATATTAATATGAAATATTGCCGATTATTTTTTTTTCATTTGTAATATATTGCAATGAAACATGACTTTCACAATAGTTATGTTTATCATTAAGAAATTCTCAGAACAAACGCTTATCCTGTCTATATTCCACTTTCCAAATTCAATAAAAAAAATTAATAAGAAAAACAAAAGGATTCTATCTAGTCGTTTAATCCGCTTAGGTGTCAAACGCTGATTGGCCTTCGGAACTCCGCCCGCTTCATATTCGTCCCAGGAGCTGCAGAAAATATCATTGCGCGGGTATTTAAGAAAAATTATAGCGGATAATTGATTCCTCTTTGTTGCCACTGCTTCATCTTCTCCACCGATTTCTTCAATCTTCATTCGTTTCAATGGCACTAGGGTTTCATCTGAATTAGAGGCACTGCTCGCTCCAAACGGAACCATGAGTTTCTCTCTAGCAGCTCCTTCGGCTTTTCGCGGGAATCTCCTCCCTCCTCTGTCCCACTGCACCTCTTGCTTCGAATTTGATCTCCGTTTTCACCGCTCCCACGGCTTTCCTCATTCGCGTTGTCGGTTTACTTCGTTCAAGTTGTTTCGGAACCCGAGGTAGGTACGAGTTTCTTTTCTATGTAGCGGATATCGTTCTGTTTTCCTATTGTTACTGATTTTGCTTCAAATGCTGTTGCGGTTTTCAACTGGAATAGATCGAGCCGGAGAAGAGGGATTGCTTGTAGTGCTACTGAGCCACCAAACGGCAGCGACGAGCAGGTACTTTCAGTTTGCTGCCTGTTTCTGCATTTTTTTAACTCATTTTGTTGCTGGAATTTCCTTCAGGAGTCAGCATGTTCGTTTTAACTGACATTAGTCTTCAGAAATTGAAGTGTGATATCATGAAGATTTTTTACTTGAATTTTCAATTTAACTTTCCGTAATTGCTCGAAATTTCTTGCGTGTTTTCTTTTCGGGGTCTGCTAACGAGTGATTATAAGACAATGCTTAAGTAGTATTTAATACTTTTAGTATAGTGTTCGAGCTTTTAATTTAATAAATATTTTTCGTTAAATATTTTAAATTTATCATTCAATGTATGACACTCTTGAACGTTTACTTATCTTCATCAACTAAGCCAAAGGCTTCCTTATAGGCTTACCGTATTTCTGCACAATTTGATGAGAGTTGGATTTTTTATTGTAATGTTGTGATACAACTCGTTTGTCAACGCTTGCAGCTGGCTAGTTTGAGGTCTCAACTCCCAAATGATATTTGATTGTGAAGGAGAAGTATGAGGATGAATTATCCTACCGTTACGTTCCATAAATGCTCTCTCTCATTTCAATTTTTGAAAATGGTGGATACAATTGGAGCCTTAATTAATTTTTAATACGTCAATAGAAAGTAAATTCTTTTATGAGGTACTTAAGACTTAATTAAGCCAAGATGTTATACATAATGAATGACTTTTGGTGCAAGTGCAAAGGAGTTAGGCTTAGGTTTTCTTCAGATGAGACAATCTTTTGAGTCTCCTAAATGAAAAACAAAATGTGTTAGGGAGCTTTGCTTACTTTAATGGGTCACATAGAGGGATTTAAGACAAAAAATCAATTCAAATGAACAAACTTCTTGCCTTAAAAACAACTTATCGTTGAAATAGAGATAGAGAGGGGATCAAAAAGGTAAAAGTTGTCGGTTGGAAGGTGGACCTTTCAGCAAATTTCAATTCGAAATAATTTAATGGGTTATGTTTTAGTTATTAGGATAAAAATAATTATTATTGTTTTTTTCTTATATTGTTTGAACTCAAACACAATGTAGTCATTTCTTTTGTCTTCATGCATTTACCTTGACAATATGCAATTTTTAATTTACCTAGGAGAAAGAAGCATATAAAAATGAAGAAACACTACCTTCGGAAGATTCCTCTGTGCAAAGTACCTCTCCTCCTGTAGATGGAGAACAACTAAACGAATTTAGTGATGCAAATAAGGATCAAAATGATGTGCAGGTAATGTTTGCCTTAGTGAATTTCCCTTATAAGTTTGATTAGATGCAAATACGTTGCCAAAGGTTGTTCAGTACACACACATGCACTCTCTTTTCATTGTTTATTATCTTATTGCTGAAGACTTCTATAAAAGCTGTTACTCACAGACATAATGTACTCAGGAATTTATCTTATGCCATTCATTTCTTTTCTTTTTTACTTATAATGTGTAAAAGATTTTTTTTAAGCTGTGATAAAATGTTTTTAATAAGTCTGCGTCATCACCATTTGTCAAGAACTAAATCCTTAAAATGGTACCTAATTTTGCCACTCTTATTCCATCAATTTTGTATGCTGCTATAATCTCCTTAATAAATATTAGAAGTATTACTTCATGGATTCAATTTTAGTTTGAGTACTAAAAAGGAGAAAACATGAAAATAAAATTGTCATTTGAAGTTAGGAACATTATGTAATAGTTTTCTTATCTCTCATTCTCTGGCCTTATGGTTAAAACAGAGTTTGGATAGTGATGAAGTTGCCAGTGGATCACCTCTGCCAGGTGTGAAGGTGATTGCTCTGCATTAAGCTTTAGAAGAGGCATTCTCTTTTTTTTCTTTCTTTTTTTATAATTTTTCCTTGTTTCTGTTCTTTATGTGTTCTTACAGCCTCAGAAATTGGATGAAGCAATAAAAATTCCCAAGGAAACAATCGAAATTCTAAGGAGCCAAGTTTTTGGCTTCGATACTTTTTTTGTAACAAGCCAAGATCCTTACGAGGTGTGAGCCTATCTTTCCTATAACGTATTTTTCCTAATGTGAAGAGGTCTTGTATGAAGATTGGGTCCTTATTTTCTGCCAGGGTGGAGTGCTGTTCAAAGGGAACTTGCGAGGGCAAGCTGCTAAAAGTTATGATAAAATTTCTAAGAGATTGAAAGTGTGTAGTATTTTTTGTTTCTCTGCTCGAGTGGTTTTGTGAGCGATTCCAGTCTAAATCAGTGTCTTAACTATAGTTATGCATGGTTATTATTGTAGGATAAATTTGGAGACGAGTACAAGCTTTTTCTTTTAGTAAATCCAGAGGATGACAAGCCAGTGGCTGTTGTAGTTCCAAGAACAACCTTACAACCAGAGACAACTGGTACTTGTTTTAGCTCTTGCAACATTGTGGATCAAAAATGATTTTTTGTAAAGCTCATGATTTGTACTTCTGGTGTTACTTATAATGGCAGCCGTACCTGAGTGGTTTGCTGCTGGAGCTTTTGGACTGGTTACGGTTTTTACCTTACTTATTCGCAATGTTCCTGCTTTGCAATCCGATTTATTGTGAGCTGTTTTCTTATGCCTTAAATTGTCACTTCATACGCTGATATGTCTTAGGCAAGAGTGTTCGGTCAGTTTCATGTGCTTTGTTTACTATACTGATACAGTTGTGTATACTCCTACGCTTGAGTAATAAGTTCAGGGAAGTATTACAAATACACTGTTTAGGTAAATAAATGTTTATCTTCCAGGCTGTATATTCTTAAATAGGATGGTCTCAAAATAATTTAATTATTGATGTATTGTTTTCTGCCTTTCATAGGAATAAATCTTTATTTCTTCCTGTCATTTCTCTGGTTGACTGATTGTTTCGTATTATAGATGCTTCAATTTCGTATGCACCTATAACTATAAAGTGAAATTTAGGTGTCATTTGGTTTAATAATTACAAAAAAAGTAGCATTTTTTCCACTTTGTTTCTCTTTTTAAAATACTTCAACTAGTGATGAATTCTTGTCCAGCTTTCATAGCAATAATTCATTAGTCTTTCTGTTATTATCCCTGGTTGATTAGTTGTTCCATATGATGCTTCAATTTGGTATGCATTTATTATTATTCAAAAAAAAAATTAGAAATCACTCGGTTTAGTTAAGGTATTCTGTTTTCACTTTTAATTACAACATGTCTTTCCTTTGCTTTCTACTTTGTTAGGTTTGTATTATAAATAGGGAAAACAATTTCACTTCTTTCATTTAAACTCTTTTGAAGATAACGAAAGTGAAAATAAGGAGAATTTTCTTGTAAGTAAAAGTGAAAATGTAAAAAAGAAATCTGAACATTTTTTCTTGTAAAACAAAGACTTTTCATGCAAACTTTTTGAAAATGAGAAAGGTGAAAACAAAGTGATTTTTCTTGTAATTACAAGTGAAAAAAAACAACTTTTTTTCGAACCAAATGCCAGTGAAAGTATTGTGCATATATTGTAGGTTCTAATTACAGAATAAGTTTAGATTGGTGTGCATAGGCTTTAGCACTTGATTGTCATTTAGAGATTTATATTCTTAAATGTTTATGATTAATTATTCTACATATAGGAATATGTTTGTTACTTTACTACACATTTTTACGTTTCACCAAATTACTATTATTAATGTTCCAGATCAGCTTTCGACAATCTGAACTTGTTAAAGGATGGCCTACCTGGAGCCCTTGTTACTGCACTTATTCTGGGGGTACATGAACTTGGCCACTTTTTAGCTGCTAAAGACACTGGAGTTAAACTTGGGGTCCCGTACTTTGTTCCTAGCTGGCAGGTTATAGGATAAAATTATTTATCTTCTCTCACATTTTTTTGGTAAAGATATTTCTTCAATTAAATGACAATAATTTAGGGTATCATATTTTTCATCATTACTTAAATTATTCGGAGGATGAATACTTACATAGAGTATGCATTCATTTTATGTTTAATTATTTTTTTTATTCTTGTTGATGCATGACAATTTGAAGCATTCCGTCTGTGCTTGTCTTGCACAAAATAACTGGTGGTTGGTATTAAATTGCATGAGACCTTTTGTTACATTGTCATTTGGGAATTGCTTGTGTTGCTTTTCTACAAAGTCAAACCTTGCTTTCGGAATTGCATGACTGTAATTGGTGTCTGAAAATGGCGGCATTCATCTTGAATCTCGTAGATTGGTTAATATTGTGGTACTGTAGAGATGGATTTATGTTTTTTCTTATGTTTATTGCTAACTAATTTAATATGGTATAATTTGGTGTTGATATTCAAACGGACATCTTGCTGATATGTACAATTAGATATTGGCCAATGGCCAAATTTTCTCTTGTAGATATGTAGAATTTCTAGCATCTTAATACGAGAAACAGAAATCTGATGTGTAATTTGGTCGGCAGATAGGCTCCTTTGGTGCCATTACGAGGATAAGAAACATAGTACCAAATCGCGAAGATCTGCTCAAGGTTGCAGCTGCCGGACCATTAGCTGGCTATTCCTTGGGTCTTTTGCTTCTGTTTCTTGGTTTTGTCTTGCCTCCCAGTGATGGTCTTGGTGTTGTTGTTGATGCTTCCGTGTTTCACGAGTCGTTTCTTGCCGGTGGTATTGGTAAGCTACTCACTCTAGTAAGCATAAAGAAATTTAGATAGACTGTCTGCATTCATTTATGGGTTTATCAAAATATTTTAAAATGAGCATTTATTTTCTATTATTACTACCACAGAAGAGCAACAAATTAAATCCGGTGGCTGCCCGATGTATTACTTAATACTTTTATCAATATGTAGTGACCATTTTTATTTACTTTTTTAGCAAAGCTGCTTCTTGGCAACGTTCTCAAGGAAGGAACTGCAATTTCTATCAACCCTCTAGTGATTTGGGCTTGGGCAGGACTCCTTATCAATGCCATCAACAGCATTCCTGCCGGAGAGCTTGATGGAGGGCGAATTTCTTTTGCTCTATGGGGAAGAAAGGTACAAGATTTAGTAATATTTCTGAACAAGGAAATTCCTATAAGCAAAACTTGATTTGTCAGTATCATGATAATATTTGACTAATTACATCACATAATTGCTTCCTTTGTTTCCTTATCGTGAAGATACTGACTTCAGTCTATTCCACAGGCTTCATTACGCTTCACAGGAGTTTCAATTGCGTTGCTAGGACTCTCGTCACTGCTTAATGATGTAGCTTTCTACTGGGTAGTTCTCATTTTTTTCTTGCAAAGAGGTCCAATTGCACCACTCTCGGAGGAAATAACTGATCCTGGTGAGAAATATGTTGCCATTGGAATAACAGTTTTGCTCTTAGGCTTGTTGGTATGCCTCCCATACCCTTTCCCATTTACAGACGAAACCCTCACAAGTTTCTAGACATAGTTGCCTCATAAACTCTGGCAGTGTCCCTTTAGACTGCTAGAAAATTTTATAACTGATTAGAAGGTAGGATTTTTGGTGAATTATACTTTCGACGTTGGCTCATGCCGGGTGAATAATCACACGTCAAATTTTTAGGCTGCATACATCCTAGTTTAGTTATTCATGATTCATTAACAATGAACACTTTTTTTTTAATTTTAAATTCCAACTTCTCACAGCCGTATAATGGATGGAAATAGAAAAAATACTTGAAATTTTGAAAGCAAGATATGTATCGTGTTTTTAAAGTTTAAGGATTACACGCGTTTTACATTTAGTTTGGCAAAAGTGATATGAGTAAGTTTAAAGTTGAAAAGGTCAACTGTGTTTCAGATTTAGTTTCCCAGTTGAATAAGGAAAGTGGTTAAAAATGATGTATTAAATTTATCTATTTAAATAATAGATACGTGTTTTTATAAATCTTAATTTATTTTATAATAAAAATATTTTTGAGCAATTACAAGCTTAGTTTAAAATTAATCTTAAAAAATTTTGTAATTTTTATTCATATTTAAAATTGTTGTAATTATTTCTTTGGTTTCATTTTTTTCTTCATATTTCTCAGTCTTATATTTTAAATATTTCAATTAAAATTAAAATGAAAATAATATGATAGACATTATAGATGAGCACAATAATATATACTGCTTAATATGGTAATATGAATGTATATCAATATCATAAATGTAGTGTTATATAATAAAATAAATACGTGAATAGCTAAAATAAACTGTACAATACAAAAAAAAATGTAGAGCATATAATAAAAACTAAAATTGAATAATAAAGTCCTCTTTGGTAGAAATAATAAATTTAATAAATGTTTATAGAAAATAATAATTAAGAAGTCAGAAGCTAACTTAAAATGACATCATAATTTCTTCAAAAATATTTTTTTTAATTTTTTTAAAAAACGACTTAATTATATTTTTTAGCTCTTATTTATTGATATATCAGCTAATTACATTTTTGGTTATCGTAAAAGAAAGTTGGTATCATGACGTGTAATAATTTCCTTAAACGTCTATTTTTTCTTCAAACAAAATTAAATAATATGAAATAGGACGAATACTAATTCGTGGTTGTTGAAAACTAAGGCACGCATAAAGGCACAATTGGTAACTAGCATAAAGTAAATAAATAAATTTTGAATTTAAAATTAAAGTTGTTAACTAAAATAGTAAAAGTTAGCTCAGCGTAGTTTGATCGATCTCGAACCTAAAACTCTAATTATTTAAGAATATATCTTCCTCCACAATCAAAATCTAATTTAGATTAGAAAACCACACAAACATGTTTACAAATTTACATTTAAAATATAATTGAAATGTATTTTTAGTGTAAAGTATTATTTTTATAAATTCATTGATAATCACTTATGATTAGGTTTCTTCAAAAAATCCCTTATGATTAGGATGAGAATATTATGATAATGACTGTAAAAGTCACAATTACGGTAATCCCTAATTAATCAATAATATAAAATATTTTATATTGACTGTATAAAAAGTTAAACTTGCAATTAAGTTAATTTAATAGTTAACTTTATCAAATATTTATAATCAATAATTTAATTTCATAACTATAACTAAAAATCAGATTTTAGTTATTTTGCTTTTAACCAACTCTTTAATTACTTCTAGTGAAACATACTTTAAAAGTTTCAAAATGTTGTTTACTTCGAAAATAACTTTTTTATTTAAGGCATAAAGATTTAAAAAGCCTGTTCCATTTTATATTTCACTTAAAAATATTTGTATAAGAGATAAGTAAAAAAAGATGTTTTTATTGGTTTATGTATTATTTTTTTAGTTTAATTTAGATACAAGGTTAATATATCAATAAAAGTAAAAATCTTAAAATTAAATTTCAAAATAATTATTATAAAATAAATATATTAATTTTATTATCTTAACATATTTCACGTCTAAACATTGATATTGTAGATAGAGATAAACTAAAGGTTTTATATTACTTCTACTCATTGTTTCTGAATTAGAAAATTTGTTTCAATACCTCCAACAAGACATGTCATTGAATAGTCCGTATCAAATTATAAATACTTATTTTTCTTAAAGATTACAACATTTTTTTATACTGTGTTTGAATTTGAAGAGTGATTTGAAAGAATGAATTTAAGAAAAAAAATGAATGTGAATTGTTTAGATTAAGAAAATATATGATAAAAAATAAAAAGAATTGAGATGAAACTTTATTAAAGTTAATAAATGAGGTCATAAGTTTGATAAATTAAAAAAAGTATTTTAATTGATAAAAATAAAAAATTATCATTTTATTTTTACTGATAAAAATAATTTAAAAATAAATTATTATTATTATTTTTATTATATCTATAACCAAAATCATCACAGAATAGGGATAAAATCGTTTCTCAATGCTTCAGAATCGATTCCTTTCTTCAACCATTCACATTGTTCATTCACAACAAAAGGGCAATTCCTTAACATCCTCATCATCCAACTATCTTTACCCACATTTCTTTTCTTATATGCTAGTGTGACCTTTTCGTAATATCAATGCTTCCATTTCTTTGCAAATCGCCTAATGCGTAAACAATCCAAACCTTGAAACAAATATAGGCTTAAAACAAAATTATAATAAAAAGTATCAAATTCAATAATTCAAAAATGTCATATCAACAAAATAATCTACTTAAGATTATAGGCATTTTTTTTTTCCAATCCATCACAACACTTTTACTGATAAAATTAAACTAAAGTGATCAGATTTCAAAAGAGATCAGTATCTCTTACATATAATTAAATCTAATAATCTTATTTTAACGAATATGAGGATGTAATGTGTAACACCCCGAAATTTGGTGTTACGTCGACTAATTTTTTTTTTTTTCCATAACACATAAGTAAAAATTCAAATTTTAATATTCAACCTCAACGGAAAAATATAGTACGATATTTATTACAAACCGATTATTCCGAAAATAAAACGTTTAAATAGTCAGGCCGATCGAATATAAAAATACAAAATTCCCAGTCATATATCCCATCTCTCTTTCATCCTTTATGCATGTTCAGAACATCAGCCATCACATCTGCAATAACATCTGCTCCCGTATAACATCACACATTATACGATCATCGCATTCACATGCACAAAACAAGCAAGGGTGAGCTAACAAAATCAATTCTATACATCATAACACTACATAATAACATGTTATCATCCACACCTTAATCAGATCGAACTATATACCCGAGTACGATTATTGCTTCAACCATATGCATATCCCAATATGTATCAAAATATCAAATTAGAATGCATACACCAACATGTATAACAAAATATCAGACTACATCCACCAATATTACAGACCGAAATCAAAATACATACACCAATTGTTACTAGCGTCAACTCCCATCACTCTTTTCAACAGAGCTTCCCCTCCGGGCCGTTACACATTACCCTAATGTGTAGTGCTGCTTCCCATCACTCTAGGGAGATTCCCCGGGCAAGTACACAATGTCACCCTCCATCACTCTGAACAAGAAGCTTCCCCGGACAAGTGCAAGTATACCCCCCATCACTCACCTAAGAGATTCCCTGGGCCCGCAAGCACAACCCAATCAATTTGTATGAGCTTCACCGACTAGTACCCAGTCCACCCCCATCCCATCATCTTACATAAATGTAAGAGATTCCCCGGGCGGTTACACACATTACCCCAAATGTCGTAGTGCTGCTTCCCATCCTTATAGGGAGATTCCCCGGCAAGTAACACATGTCACCCTCCATCACTCTGAACAAAGCTTCCCCGGACAAGTGCAAGTATACCCCCCATCACTCACCTAAAGAGTTCCCTGGGCCAACACGCACAACGCTTACTATCCACCACTCATTTTAATGACACCAACCAGCCAAAAATATACATCTCCAATAATCCTCATAATACAATCCAACCATACCATAACGTACCTATCATATCATCATCACATAAGCATCACAATACCAAATTGTAAACAATTCAAGTTCTTCTTTTAACATGAACTCACTAATTAAATCATATACAACTATGATTTCAACAGTACTTAACCATCCAAACATCACTCTCATATCAATTTACAATCTCAAACAGATCACCCAATATTCCCATATCAATAGATATATCAAACAATTCAAAACAGTGTACACATAACACATTTTCTTTATATCCTTTTAATACTCATATTTAGGTAACTCAAACAACTTTGAAACCATCACCAACGTTCCGGAAGGGTCAGAACCCCAAAACGACCAGAGAACGTCCAAAACGGACATCTGGAACCCCAAAACTATCAAAAAACCAATTCTCAAAGTGCAGGTGCGTGTTAATTATTGTGGACGAACGTCATAAACCATTGGACGGACACTGTTTGGACGAACGCTGTTACTCTTAGTCGAGTATATTGGGACGAGCGTTGACACCCTTAGTCGAGACTATTGGGACGAACGCATACTGCTCTCTTGGACGAACACCTGTGAGATCAAAGACTCGCCGAACGCTCAAAACCGAACACCAATATTGAATTCACACTGTTGAACGAGCGCTCAACGATCAAACGCTATGAAGACCGAACGCTCACTTAACCATCAACTGGACCGAACACTACTAACCAGCGAATGAACGAACACTACTAACCAACGAATGAACGAAAGCTACACCAACACCTGAGCGATCGTTACTACAACATAACTTGAGCGATCGTTTTTTTAAACCAATGACCGAACGCTATTAATATCATTCCCTACAAACCGAAACGCTCTCGCAGACAAGGACGAACGCTAAATGCCTAAGCCAAGGCTCGATTTGACCGAACGTTATACAAAACGAACGTTAACCAAACCAACATTTACGAATGCACTCAGCCCATGGCATGACCGATCGTCCAAATCCGACGAGGACGAACGGTCAGTTTTCGCATTCTGCAGAATTCTGCAGAATTCTGCAGAATGGTAGCAGAACATCCCTTGACCATTTCTAACCTTTTCTCAACTTCTAAACTCTTAATTCTCGTTAGACTTAATTAAACTTATCCAAATGATTCTAACGCATCTCTACTACCATTCTAGTGATTAAGTTCACTTTCAGCTCCAAAACACTAACTTC